GAGGGCAATGAATATACAAATGTGCTTTACACAATGGATGTATGTATGGATTGTGATAAGAGTTGTCTTGCTGGGTCATATGGTAGCTCGATTTCCATCTGCTTTAGGTCATGCCAAATCCCTTTCCACAGTGGCTGTATGTATCTACAGCACCACCAGCAGTGAATAAGAGTTCCTGTCTTACCACACCCCTCGAGAATTTGTTGCTTTCTGTCTTTTTGAATTGGGCTGTCTTTGTGGGTGTTAGGTGGCATCCCATAGTTGTTTTTTCATTTCCTGATGGCTAATGATTGGGAACATTTCTCATAAGTTTATCGGCCATTCGGATTTACTCCTTTATGACTCTTCTGTTCAAGTCAGGGGTTTTTGTTTGCTCGTTTTGTTTTTTTCTTGTTGGAAACTCTCAAGGTTCTAGTAGATTTTCGTAGGAAGCCCTTTGTTATGTCATTACTGAATATCTTTTACTAGTCTGTGGGCTCTCTTATTACTCTCCTGGTGAAGTCTTTCGATGTACACCAGTGTTTTAGCTTTAGTAGGTCTGTGGGCTCTCTTATTACTCTCCTGGTGAAGTCTTTCGATGCACACCAGTGTTTTAGCTTTAGTAGGTCTCACTCATCTATTTTATCTTCCTCTTGGAGTGTATTCTTTCTTATGTCCCATAGCCCATGTACACCCTGCACTGAGGTTTTTAGCTTTGTCCCAGTTTTCTCATTGATGATCCTGATAGTTTGGGGGGTTACCTCAAGGTCTGTGACCCATCTTGAACTTGTCCTTGTGAATGCAGTGAGGTAAGGATCTTGTTTCGTTCTTCAGCAAGTTAGCATCCAGTTTTTCTAGCACCATGTGTTAAAAAGGGCATCTGTTTCCCATCTGATATTTTGGGGGCCTTTGTCAAAGGTCAGTTGTCTATATGCGGCTGTTTTTATTTCTGGATTTTCTGTCCTGATCCTTTGGTCCGAGTAGCTATCATTACACCAGTACCAGGCAGTTTTGACAACTGTGGCCATGTAATAAGTTTTAAAGTCAGGTAGCGCAACCCGCTCACTTTATTCTTCCTCTTGAGGAGTTCTTTGCCAATTCTGGGCTTCTTCCCTTTCCACGTGAAGTTGGTAGTCAGTTTTTCCATTTCTTTGAAAATGGTGGTCTTGCAAAATTCCATCATGCACACTTTGCAGTCATTTTTATCACCAAGGTCATATTTTACAATTACCAATGCTTCTTTGTTCCTGACTGTCACACTCCAATCACCAGTAGGCCCCGATTTACGGGAGAGTCTGGATGGG